TGAGACTTTGCCCACCCCTCTCCCCAGATGCTCTTTGTTGATGTGCTTTAGCGGCCACTGCTTCCGTATCACGCCTCTGTGTTCCTTATTGTGCGGGAAGTGGTAATAGCCAGATTCTTTCCTCCAAAGATCGCTAATCAAATACTATTGTGACTATAGTTGTTTGTTTTTAACCAAGCTTGAACCTCAGTTTGAGACTCAGAATCCTGTGTCTATGTCAATTACTATCATGCACTCTGCTTTTAAGGAGACTTACAAGAGCAAGACAAGGCCCCGGATCTAGAAGGACCAAACAATTATATGTTCAGTCTAACTAGACAAGAGGCTGAGCACAGGGGCAAGACATGAAATGCAGTTACCACAACAAGGATATCAAAGGTAAGACCACAACCCAAGGAAAGGGCAAAAGTCCACTCATCCGAGCTGGAATCAACCGTCACAGCAGGGCTATAAAAATAGTTCAGTTTTGAGCCCAAATTGTTAAGCTAAAACTTAACAGTCCCACCTGCCTAATGTCAAACTACTTCTAGAAATTCAGACAGGGATTGATCTTAACAGAATCAGGCAGACCCAAGCACTTTTCCCATGCCATCTAATATTATAATCAAAGGAAATATAAAACCTTATGTAATAAATGGAGTGTGCATGCCATACACACACACACACACACACACACACACACATGCATGCACACAACTCAGGTCATAAAGACCAGTTGAGATGGGGGGCCACCATGCCCTGTCCCTTTAAGCCGGTACAGAACATCAAACATCCATCAACCATAATGCCCCAACAGGCAAGCCCTGGACACAATGCAACCACCTAGGTCCCTCACTTTCCACTCAAATTTCTGCCTTATTTCTGACACCTGTTCAGCCTTATATCTAGTTTTCAACACTGAACCTGACCTCTGGACTTGTTTGAGATGATGCCCTGACTTTCCCTGTCATTCTGACCTATCTCACACTTTCTTCAGGTAAAACATTATGCCCCTTGGAATATAACTGGTCAGTTAGGCCAGTTCTAGCCTTCGACGAAGGAGGTTCGGAAGTAAGAGGAAGAGATATCCCAAAAAGAACAGACACAAAATAATGGACCCAAGTGGAATCCAAGACCAAGCAGGAGCACAGAGCCAGAGAGACAATAACCTTGTATGCCCTGGCACAGCAACTGTCAGCCCCTTTCACCCCGTGGCACACATAAACTAATTACTAAAGTTTTGCAGCACACCAAAAAATATTTTTTTTGCTGGTCTGACAAGAAAAAAGGTATAATTTTGATTTATTCACACCAGACAGCTACTTTTGTGTTGGCTGTTGTCATTTTTTTATTTGATACCCTGAGGAAAAAGAGGTCAGTGCCCCTGACTAAATAGCCAGGTATTGCATGTTTGCAGCACACTGGTTGAACACTGCTAATCTGGAGTCTAGGAGCGGCTGTGGATCTGGGACAGGGCTGGCAGTGGAGCACAGGTCCCAGATGCCTTGGTAAAATGGTGGCCCTGGAATCCTTCTGTCAGTTGGAAGAATACGTATGAGAAAATGATGTAAAAAATATGAAGCTGGTACATTCTGTGCATCAATTGTACAGCATACATCTGCTCCCCACAGAATTTGCTTTCAGGAACCCATCTTTCTTCCATTCTTAATCTTCTGACATGGGTGGGGTTAGCCTTACCCCAGTTTCCCTGGATGAACCCAAATTTTTGTTTTAATCAATTGCTTTATTTCATCTTCCTAGTTGCACAGACTGATTTATGAATGTATGTTTAACAAAATCGAAGTCACGAGAGCCAAGCATCTATATGTGGGAGCTTCTGAGAAATAGACCTAGTGTGGAAGAAACCCACTTTTGAACCCCAGACCCCCTGGACCATGAAGTGTAGGGATGTGAGGCCTCCCCTCCCCACCAATAAACTGAGAGCAAGGGGGCAATCACTGGGAGCTGAAGGAGGAAAACGAGACCACAGAGAACAGCAGGCAACATAAAGTAGACTCTTGGTGATATCATCTGACTCTCTGATTCAAAAGTGGCCAAAGCCAACATCACCTCTGAACTTTTTAGTCATGTCAGCCAGTGCAGCTTTTTGCTTAAGCCAGTCTGAGTTGGGTTTTTCTGTCTTTTGTAAGTGAAGCATGTGTAACCAGACTCTGCTTACTTATCGTTGAAGATGTTCTTTGTGTCAGGCACTCCGATAAGCGGTGCCGGTTTTGTGGCAGATGAAACAGGCTTGGCCCCAGCCCTTGTGGGTTTGTCTCATGTAGAGAAGGAGACACAACCCAAAGAAACACCCCAGTAAACATGTGAGTATAACTGGTGGTTAAGTCCCAGGAAAGTAAAAAACTGAGGTATGTTACTCAGAATAAGATGAGAAACAATTTCATTGGTAAGAGGAGAAGTGATACTTCTGCCTGGAGAAGGCAGTGTGATGGCCAGCCCAGGTGAAGTGTGAGAAAGAGCCCACCGGGCAGAAGGCATGTTTCCCCTCCTCCGACCTTCCTAACCCCATTAGTTAGTGCAACGCACTTCTCACAGAGCTGGTAGCATCCACTCTAGTTAGCAAAAGTTCATGTATCAGACTAGCAAGCTCTGCTGTCTCCTGTCCCTCACATTACCCACTACCAGCACGTCTGCATTAGAGCTACCCCAGTAACCGGTTTATTCACATTGATCACCACCACACCAGTAAGGGGTCCTACAGTTTTGAAGCTCAGGCATAGGCCCAAGGTGCATAAGCTTGATGGTCAATGGCTGGTTTCCTCATTTGCATACAGCTTTCCTACTGATACCACAGGTAACACAGGAGAAGGCAACAACCCAGGAGAGTAGGCGTATCTGAACCATTCAGTCTAAACCAACTCTCAGCTCCACTGGGTTGAACACCAGCTATTGTCCTAGGCCATTTCTGTAGCAGTTGCCAAAACATGAATATTCTGTTTCCTCATTTTAGCAATTTTTTTTCCCTGTGTGTCCCTTGAATTCAGTGAACATAATCTATATTCCCTCCCTCCAATACAATAGACAACCTTCTGGTCTCTACCTCTCAACAGATAACGTATGTGAAAACCCCAAGGTAAAACAAGCACTTGGCTTTCTAGGACCTGGAGAGTCAGGGGCAATCAGACTAGAGAGACCAGCAGGTGCCAGATACTGTCCCACTGTAGAGACCACATTGAGAATTCTGCACATTATCCTGTGCCCATAGGAATCCATTAAATAAGGGGTGTTAAACACAGAATGAGATAAGCTTGCCTTTGAAAAATCACTGATAGAGTATTTCTGCTAAATCAAAAACCAACCATTAGTTTCCTTTGAGCTCATCTGAGAGATGATAAACAGGTTCCACAAACCAAAGTGAGAACAGGTCCAGAAACTGGAAACCATGTCTTGCAGCTTTAAAAAGTTGAAAAGTGAAGAGTGTACTTTATTTTACAGGGGAAAAAAATAGTTCTGCCTTGGAGCTCTGCAGAGAACACGGCCACAAAAGACCCAAAGTTCCGCTGCAGCTTTACGACTAGGATGGGCACCAGTCTTTCCACTCCCGGCACTTGGCACGTGACACATACAAGTGAATGGGGGATAAGATCGAGTGTCCCGATCAGAACCTGCCATACAAATCTTGAAGAACATGTCAGGAATATGTCCCTTTCCATGGGTAGGGCAGTTCTGGGCTTGAGGAAGTTAAATTTAATCCGAGCATTATTTTCTAAATGTCACTTCTCATTGTCTAGTCCATTTTATTGCTACAGGCACAAATCAGTTTTAATAATGAGCAATATGCAGGGTAAAGAACAATTATAGTCCAGAGGTCATACACATCAAAGGAATTACACAGATAAAATCCCTGAAGCAAGTCCACAAATCCATAAGATAGAAAATTTAATTTCCTTAAAATGTCACCAATTCATCATCTCCAATATCTGAGCTAAGTAACAGCAGCTCCAGAGCGCATAATTCGGACCCCAGCACTGGTTCATCCAGCGTGTGATGCTGAGACCCTTTCCCTCCAAATCTAGGTTTCATTGCTCTTTAAAGTTCTAGGCTCTGGCTAAATGCATTAGTAATAAGCCAGCAATTCCCCCCAAACAAAGTCTTGTTTGAAGTGCAACAGGCTTTGCTGCTTCAAAGTCTTAAGCCAATTTTTATTTAATTTCTGGGGCATAACATAGAAGGTAGTAAACTCTAATTGAGACCCCCCCCTTTTTTTTAAGCTAACAGCCCTATTCAGGGTGTCTAATGTACCTAACCACAGCCCTTGAGCTTCATGTATTTCCATTACTGTACTTCCAAAATGACGCTGAGACGGTCCCCAGAATCATCAAAATGCCTCCTTTTGAAGAAGGTTACAGAAATCCATTACTATAATGTGTTTTTCCCTACTACCCTTCTGGTATAGGTTGCTGTCCCCTTGGGCCAGAATTTAAAATTATTACATTAGAAATTCTGACTTAATGAGTGAATTAATCTTCCTTTTTAAGGGAAAATTGCTAATGCTATGTTTTTTTAATGAATTTTATGTTTTACAATAATATTACCAGTTTATATATGTTAGCTTTTAGAAATAAGTGCTTTCCTATTTCCTAAAACAAGGGTATCCAGAAACCCATCCAGGACTAGTGCCAATTGCTGCTGATATGTTTTTCCACTGGGTTAGCCTAACGGGAGATCATTCTGCTAACAAGAGTTCTATCAGTTAAGGAAAAACATATCTCTATTTTGCGTCCTGGTAGTTATTTCTGCATTTTAGAGACATAGACCTCATTATCAGTTTACTGGGTGTAAACCTACAGAGTACAGGCATACCTTGGAGATACTGTGTGTCTGGTTCCAGACCACGTAAATAAAGCATGCATCACCATAAAACGAATTATAATCATTTTGCTGGTGGAGGAAGGGTCTGGCCTTCAATCTGCAAAATATGTAACATCTGTGAAGCACAACTAAGAGAGGTATGCTTGTACATCCTAGAATCTGTGTTTCTTGCTTTCTTTTCCTCAGGATGCTAAGGGAAAGCTGAGTGGCAGCTGCAGGTGCTATGCTGACCTCAGCTGTCAGAGCCTCTCCCAGCTGCTCTCGCATGCAGTTGGGGATCCCACAGCTACAACCAGCTGCAGCCCTTGGGAACACGCAGGAGTCTGTGTTTCCTACACACGTCCCTAATGTTCCTTTTACCCCACTCCCATCCTGCCCCCTGCATAAGATAAGAGATCACCTCTAGAGATAGCAGGGTCTTTCTGTGTATTTTGGGATGCATGCTAAAAAATAAATCACATAAAATTAGGATTTCTAATTGTTTTTCTCAAAACACCCAATAATCATCAACTTAAACATAACTTGTAATCATAAATTAAATTCAACTACTTTCCAAGGTTAGCCTTTCCAAGGGTCATAATTGTCAGAAACATTTGGATTCTGTTTTTATTTTAGAGTATTTAAATGGCACCGTGAGTCAGGATACTGAGCCCCGTGTAGAAGAAAGAGGGGAGAAAATGATGGAGACACACACAGGGGGCTTTAAACATAATAGTAATGTGTTATTTCTTAAGCTGGGTACCAGGTACATGGATGCTCATAGTATCATTAACCTTTATAAAGATTATTTTGTAACTACTCGATATTTTATAAAACCAGTTTTTCCATATTTTATTTTATGTATTTTTAAATATATTTTATTGATTATGTTATTATAGTTGTCACAGTTATTTCCTCCCCTTTGGCCCCCTCCACCTGATACCCTCATTCCCTCCAGCAATCCACCACTTAGTTCGTGTCTGTGGGTCGTACATATAAGTTCTTTGGCTTCTCCATTTCCTACACTATCCTTAACCTCCCCCTGTCCATTTTGTACCTACCATTTATGCTTCTTATTCCCTGTAACTTTTCCCCCATTCCCCGCCTTTCCCAGTTTTGAAAACAAAGCAAACTACACAGTGTCTCTTTCCAATTCCACCCTTAAATTATTACACCCTAACTGAAGCAAATCTGTGACATTTGTCAAGATTATTGATACTTTCAGGAAAACTGTACAGGAATAATGTTGCCTCTCAAAAGACTTTTGTCCAAAGTTTCTATAAGACACTATTTGAACAATACCAGGAAATAATACTATCAACATTAGAAGGAAACTGTTACTCTTCATATCAAAAATATATCTTTAAAAAACATCAGGCACCCTCCACTTCACACAGCAAACATCTGTGTACTGCACACCTTCTGGGTAGTGCACCTGGTATCTATACTAGTGCAAACATCGAGACAAAAACAGTCTCTGCCTTCGGGGAGCTCACAGTCTAACAGGGAAGGAAGACAGAGGTATGAGCCGTTGACCTAACACAAGCTAATGTTAAGTGAGTGACAAGCAGGAGTGGAATCAGCATGCTACGGGGTTGAGTCAAGAAGTGGACTGAGGTCTCCCTCAGCAAACAGCCTTTTAAAGACTACTTCACAGTGGTCTAGGGTCAGCCCCTCGCCCTCACAGCTCCAGAGCTGGACTTGACTGATGCCCCAGAGTTTGTCAGATTCAGAGACAATGACTCACACCCACCAACTCCCAAAAGGCTAAACAATATGAATCAAATGCCAATTTATAAATTTATGATAAGAATTATAACTGCTGGGAAGAGCAGATGTCCACGTTGTCCAGCCAGTGTGCATCTCGCCCCACAGACAAGCTAAGTGGGATACAGGAAGTCAGAAAAAGGGCAGTCAGGGATACGGTTACAACGTTTTTAGCAAGTGCCATTTCCATAACGTGATGAGCCCAGTTGCACAAAAGGGGCACACTGCAGGGATGACCGCACATTCCCGTAGTCCTAACAGGATGTCTGCTGCTCTGGGTTGGACCAGAATGAGCACGGCCAGAGTCTGCCCCCCCCATTCCTCCCTTCTGGGTGCTTCCAGTGCTGACCACATGCTCTTCTTACATTGTGTCTTTTCCCTGGTTGATTAAAAAAAACCTTTAACCATGTTAGAAGCAAGTCTTCCAGTGGTGAACTATTCTGCATCTTTGCCTAGCTGTTCCCTTTTCTGAAATTAGTGTAGAACGTAATTCTCAGACTGCTCTTTCAATGGCACAGGAGAATGACTGGGTTCAGGGCCCTGCAGAAGGAGAAGAGGCCGGCTCTGGAAGTCCGGGGCAGACCACACAGTTTCTCCAACAACTTGAGCACTATTTTAAGGAATGGCAAGCCACTGAAGACTTTCAGGAAGAGGAATGACCTATTTCACCTTAGAATGCAACCATCTCCTCAAACTCCTATGAAATGCATGTAGTAGGAAAATATTTTGTAATAACTGTGACATCCAGATGCACTTCATTCAAGGGGACATCCTTTTAAAAGAGCACACTCAAAGGGTGCTCTTAGAGGTGTCTTCTCAAAGAGGAGTTAAAACATACTAAAAACCCCCAAATTATGTTACCTATCAGTCAGAAAATGAATGTGTCAGCTGGATTTTTCTCATTGTTTTGGGTTTGGTCACTAAACCTTAATTTCTAGACCAAACCTGTCCAGTGGCTTTATAAATAAATGCAATCCACCTTTGTAATTGAAAATTTCCTAATGGCCACATTAAAAATGCAAAAAGAAACCGGTACACTTAAATTTAACTGTAAATTTTATTTAATCTCATATATCCAAAATATTACTCTATATGTAATGAATATGAAAATTTGTTTGTGAGATATTTTGCCTTTTCTCATATCAAGTTTTGTAAACCCAACATGCATTTTTGTGCTCAGCAGCCGCAGGTGGCGAGTGGCTGCCCTATTGGGTAGCACAGCCTGACTGCTGCCAGCTGCGAGGTGTCCCCACTGTCAGACAGAGTCGCCTTTCAGAGACTGAAGATTGTTCGTGGCTGCAGAGAATAACTGAGGGATTACACCATTTAATATGATCTATTTTCCCTTGTAGGAAGAGCAAGAAGAAGAGAACGTTAGATTCGCTTAGAGCAGCTCAGAGGTTCACTTGCAGGTAGCTAATTAGAAAAGCCAGATCTCTACAAATATCTTCTTCCTTTGGAAGAGTTTTTTGTTTTGTTTTTTTTTAAATTCTCACCCGAGGATAGGTTTTTATTGCTTTGAGAGAGAGAGGAAGGGAGAGTGTATGTGTGTGAGAGAGAGAAACACCGATGTGAGAGAGAAGCATCCATAATTAACCTCCCATCCATGCTCCAACTGGATATGGAACCCATGACCTTTGGTGTGTGGGACCATGTTCCAACCAGCTGAGCCACCTGGCCTGGGCCCATTGGAAGTGTTTTAAAAATGCAAAAAAAATTTCTTCTTAGCCTGGGTTTCCATAACTCTACTTGGGACATTCAGGTTTAAAGGCAGACTTTGCATGTTAAATTACTCTCAAACTGTTATTCAAAAAATCTCCACTGCAGAAAGATCCATTCTTCCTTAATGCTCCTGACTCCCAACACTACTTAGAGGTGAGAGAGAGAAAAGCTTAGCTCACCAATTCCACACACACTGCAGTTATTTTAGACAATCTGATACACGTATATCTTCATATCCCCCACGTAGTAGCTCCATTCCTGGTCAGCTGCAAAGGAAACGACACTCACAGGTAGTTCTACCCTCTCAGGAGGAGGGAAGAGTTGGGGTAAACAGTGACTCCCCTTGTTTTTCTACCTGAATTATCATCATATCTCCTGTTAATATGGCCTTCGGTTAATTTTATTATTTTATTACTAGGCCAGCGGTAAGAATTAAAGAAGGGCAGAAGGGGGGAAGTCTACCATACCCCACAGGAGGTAGAAAGGAGGAGAGGGCTCTGGCTTTATGTATGTGATGATGGGGGAAGGGCATTCTACTCTCAACTGGGGTGAGCTTTATGCTAAAGGGGCATTAGAGAAAGTAGGATTTCACCATCCTAAGGATGAATTATCTCCAGATGGTGTACATGAGAAATGTGTATTCTTCCTATTTGTAAACAAAACCTTTCATAGCAAAATCTTTTCTAAAAGAAAGGGTCCTGGAAATAAAGTCTGAACCACCAGCAGCAGCACTAGATGGAGAAGACCACATATCCTAGAGATAAAGACCTCTAGTATGCACTATGATTTGGGGAAAAGGATGTAAATTATTTGAAAGACTGTATCAGTTACAGATAAGGGAGGCGGGAAATGAAGGCAGGAACAGTTCTAGGATCGGGGAACAGTCTGGGCAGGAAAGAAATATTTACTGCTTTTGATTGGTTGTGGTCCACAGTCCAGAAAGTTCACGCATAAGCAGGATACAGTGGCATCTGGTGGTCAGCTGCTCCTTTTCAGACAGCCGCGGGAATGTCGACTCCAAGTTCCAGCAGACATTCAGGAGTACGAGCAGTCTTTTTTGTGAGCAGGCCCACAGCTACTGACTAGTTAATTGCTCTTGTTCTCTTTCTCTCTGGCTTGCAATAATTTAATTTAGGACATCTCAGGGTTTTCCTCACATCACTATCGACATATTTGAGTCTAGTTCTCGCAACGTAAAACCTTGCTCTTACTGTACTGAGAATACTCCCCTCTCTCCTGCCCTGAATCACGTAACACACTTGTCCACTTTTCTTTTGATCCATGTTTCCAGTGACTTTAATCACTAGGGTTCTCCCCTCGCACTGTTCTGAAAAAACCTAGGGATTTCAGCTCACTCTGCCACACTTCTAGAAAAATAAAAACTTTTTAACTTGAGATAATTCAGCATAGGTCTGTTTTCTGTAATTTAAAGAGGTCTGATCAGAATAATCCACATTGAAATTTACTTGTTTTCTTCCCTCTAGGAAATAGCCATTACAACCAAATCATTAACTTTCAAAGCCGCGTACTAACATAGCAAAATAAAGTAAGATCTTTTGAAATTTTACAGGCACTGAGTCATGACCCAATAAAACAAAGTAATAGCTGGTTTATCCAGCATTACTGTGGAATTAGTTACTTTCCCAGCAGATACCCTAAGCACTAAAACCTTGCTATTTAAACCTAAAATCTGTATCAAAATCCATAAAAAGATGTAGTCCAGTAATGCTTCAAAAAGCTGAAGAGTGGGCAGGCTGGACGCTTCTGCAGCCGTGAGTCCGATGTTTTTCTGTCCCTGTGTCCTGCTCTCCTGTCAGGCTATGGGTCAATGCGTCTTCTGCTTCTCAGAGC